TCGCCAAAAATTTGAAAAATTGTACAGACAGAATCGAAAGCGAACGGCATACTCCGTTCGTCGATTGTATCGTCAATTCTTCAAATATATTCCAGGTACAGGTTGATCACGTGAAATCGCGCCTACCCGACCAAGAGACTGTGACAACCTGCCCCGGCCCTACCTACTTACAATCTATCACACACACCAGAAGGTATACTACCTACCTACCTAACGCTATATTTAAAAAAGGCAAAATCACATTCTCACAAAAATTCATTCCACGACCCCCATACACTCCACCCGGGCGCAAGAGCCTAAACTAGGGAGAACGTCCCGGGACGCCTCCGTCACCCGAGTTTCATCTCACATCACACTCTACGGTACGTACCATTTTTCACTGAAATCGTCTAGCAAGGCTAGCAATCATTGCGTATAATGATAATTACAAAATTTAATTAACTACTTTGATATAGAATATTTCATAATAATGGTAATAATCATGGTAATAATAATGGCAATATAGTAATAGTAATGGTAATAATACTATTTGGTTTGTACGTTTGTTGTACATCTTGTTGAATAAAATATTATTTCAAATTAAAAGTTAAATGAAAAAGTTATTAAACCGACGCAATCCCACAGCCTAAAAACACACACACACCATATGTGGAGATTACGTCGTGCACGATATACTAACACAATGCCAGCCGCTAATAATTTTTATTCTTATGAACTACGTCATCGTGCCCATTGTCTCTACCCATCCAAGTAGCACCTGGGCACGTGAATGGGCTTTGACAATAAACACGGAAGGGGTTAAACCTGAAAATCCTGATCTAGAAACATGATTAGTACACAAACATCTAACGGGCTAATATTTCACTATTTTAATAAAAGTGACTCGACTTTGTAAATATAAAGCTTTAATAACAAATACTGAAAAGCATAATAGAGCAACTATGACGCAAACATGGTGCACTGCTAATATCAGCTGGCAACGAAGGGTCTCACGCCCCCTAGACTTACGCCAGACGCTACATACCACCCACCCCGCCTGGACGTCGTAACGCCAGGACAGAGTGCACCCCTTCGCTAAGAGCGCTACCCGCCCGTCCAACACGTTGCATCCAACGGTGTCAGATTTGCGGACGCCCATAGTATAGACAAAAGGACTACAGTTTAGAATATGGTAACATATTTTCATATGTTCCGTATTCTAAAGCTGCGCCTGCAAAGGCCTAGTAATGCATGGGTGTATCTCCCAGAGGTGATGTTCACGGTCTTATGCCGCGGAATCCTTGTAACTAATTTGATTAATTAAATAATAAAAAGGATTGAGTTTAAAAACCAAAAGGATTCCCACCGAATACTAGTCAGTGCATCGTCATATTTACTCTCGCGCTGGAAATTTTTCGCAACACTAATCTAAGAAATGCAAAATTTTAATAAATAAAAAAGAATTGAATGTCTCTAATTAAGAATTCTTTGCAATGAAACAAGAATTTATTGTGAAAATTAATATAACATCCTCGGGCGACTTCCTCCTCAGAGTAAATTTTCAAGAATACGCAAAATGTGTTGAAATATATCACTCTGGCTTGGAAATCTACCCGTCACGAATTGTCTTCTTGCACATAAATTGTTCAATTTTGCATGAACGTGTAAATAAGTTAAAGTTTGCTATAGAAGGAATTGAACTTTACTACTCGGAAAAAATCCTCAAATTATATTTGAATTTACAATGTATAAAATGTAATTAAATTAATGTAAAAGCATAATTAATATGTATATCTAGTATACATATTATAAAACCAATATTATATCGATTTGAATCTTTATGATAACTAAATCAGATGGTATCTGACTTCTCCGTTAAAGAAAAACTAAATAAAATTGTTTCTGTATTTACTTAATTTGAAAATATTTCATACTCCACGTTTTATTATAAAATTGTATCATGAATATTTAAAAGCATTCAAATATTTCATAAATATTTATCGGAATATGTGGAATAGAAATAATATTTAAACGCGAAGTGCAAGAAGACCTAGCCTGAAATAAATGAAATGAAACACAATAAAAATGTCACTACACATGAGTATAATCATACCCATGGTCACTATGCTCACCAACCACGTATACAACTAGTAACCCGTGTCGATTCGGACCATTCGTCCTACGACATGATTGGGCACCAGAGGAATCATAAAACATGCGACTCACCGTTCGCAGATATACTCTTCTTCCGACAGTCAAACACCAGGTAGGAGGCTGCCTTGTAGGAGAAGACGGACGTCGTGAAGAAAGCCATCATCAGGATATCCAGGGACTCGGCAAAATCAAAAAATTCATCTGTAACAAAACAAAAAAGAATTACGGTTAATTTTGCAAATTATCAATTTTTATTCTAATAAAATTATATATGAAATTGAATTTTATAAAATATTAGCAATTAGCAATAGCAATTAAGAAGAACTCTCAATTATCAAGTATTGAAATTGTAAATCATTCTATTTTAATTAAAATTAATTATATAAAGTAATAAGATACTTACACTCTTTCCTTGTGGAGCATCGCCCAAGACTCCTCTTCAGTGGTGCCGTGACTCTAATACCGGATATATTGAGCAAATAAAACAAAAAAAATTAAAAATAAAATTAAAGATATAAAGTACTGGTAACGCGCCCGTGAATAAATTCCGGCGAACAATTATAGAGACTCTACTTTCGCGATGGAAAAAGAAAAATCAGAGCCGCGATGCTCTAGAAAATATTTTATAATACGAAGCAAACACTGACTCTACTTTCGCGTGATTCCTATTTGTACAAACGCAACTCTATTCAGGGCCAGTTCACCCTTGACAAAATCAAAACATTAGAAGTATGTACGTGCAAACACTGACTCTACCGACCGCCTTGCGCGCGGCCACAACAATTCCTGGAAGAAAAGATTAATGAGGAGGGAGGTATGGGATGGATGGATACACACAAAGAAAAATAAACATTCTTCTTATTGAGCGTTCGTTAAGGAAATATTGTTAATATGTGTAAATGGAAATATCAGTGTTCATGAAATATTTTCAACGAACACGAATATTTCTGAAATTGAATATTGATCCTATATGATACCGTAATAATGAAACATTTTAAATAATTGTTGATAATTATTTCAATAAATATTACAACAATAGAAAATCATTGTTAAATAAATATAATAGACTATTTTATTAAAGTAGAGGATTTCTGTTGTTAAAATTGTAAACATACTAAACATTGTTGTAAATTTTATTACGTCGTGATTTATAAATTGTCTAAATTCTTTTCAATAAACAAAGTTCAATAATTAATCATGCTTAAACAGCATGTAATTTAATAACGTGATTCTATTTTTATTTAAACTTGTACTGAAAGCTGTATATTATAATACATTTACTACGATTTAAGGAAAACAGATTGTTTAAAATAATCAAAATATAATTAAATAATTGCAGAAGAGAAGCAATTATCTGCAGTAAAATACAAACTGTTTCAATTTTTTTCTAATTTACAACAGATGCATGAAACTACTAGTTAAAATTATTCAATAAAATGAAAAATTAATTTTTCTTTTTCTATAAATTGATCAAAGAAAAAAACATTCTTCTTATATTTCCTTCCTTGATTTTGGTACCAATAATTAATTATCAGAAATGCTTATAATTAACAACGACTCAACAAAAAAAGTAATGAATATTACTAATTGATTACAATAAATCAAAACGTTACCAATTCTTTACGAAATTGTGTTTGAAACCAATATCAAATGCCATGGTATCGTATCGCATGGCATCTTCTCAGTATCAAGGAGATATCTGTAACAAATAAGAAGTACAAATTTATGTAACTAAAATTTCACCTACAGCAATAAAATTATGATTAACGAATGATCGAGCTTTATAATTTATGCAAAATATTTGAATAGGTAAACTGCGCATACCTATGAACTACCCGTACAGGACGCCCTCGACACGTCTTATTACTTCGACATTCGCGAAACAAATGGCTTGAGCTTCCATGCCGACGAAAACCTGTCGTCTCTATTCGGTACTATTCGGTTCCGCTGTCGCCCGGTACCGAAGCACGTACGCGAAGTCTCATAATACATATTACGATGCTCAAGAAGAAAGGTTATTAAATTAAAAACAACAAATTGTGTGAAACAGTACTAAAAACATTCAATAATATTTAGGAACTTAACGATATAAAAGAGAAAATAATTCAGATTCTACTATTCCACTCTTATTGGCGATAATAAATTGGTTATAAACATTCATGACGAGAGCAAAAATTGTCAACTCACGTATTTTTGAAGAGAACGCCGAATTAATATCAAAGATCAAGAATTCAGACTTCTCTTCGATGCTTCTTTCTGTTTTTTGTACTTTTAACACACGATCGGCAATTTAATTTAATATTTGAAGATAATTTAACCTTACCTGTTGCAGACACGTGAAAAACGGATGAAGCTTCGGAGAGGACTAATGCACTACGCCACACTCCGCACACCTCACCTTTCAACGATGAATCTGATTGGTCGGAATGGAAGGACGCCATAATAGAATGACCAATCACAGATATTGGTAGAAACTTCGAATTGCTTAGAAACTTTAACATTAAAAGAACGAAAAGATTCGTTGAAAATTATCAACGCCATATTGAAATAAGGTTAAGATTACTTATTTCAATTTATAGCACCGAAATATAGGAAAGAAGATCGAGAAAAACATAAAATATTAATGGTATTTAATAAATTATCGTTATAAAAGCAGAATAAATAAGGAATATATTATTTTAATTCGTATCTATATCGTCAGCATAGTCAAAAACGAGGAAATCAATTATCGCAATTTATATCAATAAATTATTCGCGAATACTCGAATTCTGTATTGTTCTATTCAAATTAGTTTATTTTGATATAGTTATTTTGCTATTATATAATAACTAAATTATTGTTGTTGTAACTATCGAAATTTGTATAATTTTGTTTAATTATTTAATTGCACTTTTTAAATTACAATAATTTATTGGGACATCTATTAAACTTCATTATTTTAGAACTTTTATGCGTAAATACCCTGCAAATTTGTATTAATTAATTATCCTTTGTACGATACTGAGAAATAATTACTGTGTTTTAATTTAAGTATGACTTTCACGATTTGTAAGTTTATAAAATAAATAATTTTTCATAAGACAGCCGTTTCCCAGGCTGGTCCTTGTTTCTTTTTCTGATGAATTCTCGCTTTCAGAATTGCTTCACCTAGCCTACCGATATTATCTTGATACTCTGATCGCCAAGGTGGTAATCGCGTTTCTTGAGAATCTTCTTCCTCTTTCTTTACTGTTTTTTTCTTCGCAGCTTTCTGACCTTTATCTATATCATGCTTACGTTGATCAGCAGATCGCTGAAGATCTTGTTTGTCAGGTCGTTCGATAGCAGCACAATGTCCGGTGGGTGTATCAGTCATACTTTTAGCTCCTACAAGTATAAGAATCTGGATTTACTACACTATACTAAAACCTTTCAGAAGAGCCATCCCACGATGCTGAAGGGTTGAAATGTCTCGAACAATGTTATGGTCGTCAAAACTGTACCTGACTCCGAATAATCCACCTGATAGGTCGTCTTCAGTCGATCCTCATCCACGCGTTTAATTATCTCCTCCACGGGGGCTTTCTGTAGAATTCCATATAGATTAGGATATTTCTCTTCCAACTGAAAGGAACGTTTCCACGTAACAAAATTGATGTGTTTCGATCACGAACGATATACCTTCTTCATATAGGCGCTCGGTTGGTCAAATTTCGTCGCCTCGGATTCCGCAGACGGCCCAGTTTTCGCAGGATACAATTTCGCATCCAAAAGACGTCCCATGGGACCGATTCTACTCCAATCTTGAGCATCTCCGCAAAGATTAATCACTTTTAATTCACGGGAACTCGATTTACAGAGACAAGAGGAGTCGGCTTCGCGAAGCGAAGATGGGGCGTGCCTCAATCTGGTGGAAGGCCAGACGTAATCTTTTTTATACGTTGAAAGATATTGGTCCATCCTGGTGCCTTTTATTTTTAACTGCATGAAACGTGGTTTTGCAGTTACAGAATTTTTACACCGGTAATTTTTATTTCATTGATCTGGAATTTATTCAAGTTTCTGCACTTGCATTGCTGTGTACAATCCATTTTTAGTCTTCTGTGCTAATTGTAAGATTTATCTCGGAAAAATCAGAATATCGAAGAGTAAATTGGTGAACTACGTCATGTTTTCCTGTTTTTCTTTTTCCTTAATTTGTACTATTTTGTAAAAGACATTTTGATGGATCTTAATGACTGAAGGTTACAGAACACCACGGAATTTCGTCGATTAAACGAAAGAATCCAAATTGCTAAGAGTGCGGCCACGTTCAGGCGTTTCATGTCTTTTCAAATTATTCAGCGCGCTTGTTTCTTTCATATTCCATATAATGTACTATTTTGCTTCGAATATATAATTACTCTGGTATAACAAATGGTTGTAACAGCAACCCGTCAGTTTAGTAATTTCGTCAGCTGAAACAAGCTATAGGACGGTTTTACAAGTTCTGCCTGGAGAATGGTCAAAAGGTAGAACGATTTTAAGTTGCAACGTCGACTGTGCAAGCAAACATTGTCCAATAAATAGTCATAGACCGATACTGTTCACGCGTTTACAATTGCAAACAAAGATGCCACGTATTAACACAAGATGGCACCGTCCGCTTGAGATTATTGCTTTTGGCTCGCTGCCACTGTCAATAAAAGCTATCCATTTTCCAGGTCAATATTTCAGTTTGACGTAGTCAATCGTCCGGTTGAGAAAGAAAAATGTATCACTTTCTACTAATTATCATTTCCTCTATACGTAACCCTTCACTTTTATTCAAAAATATTGCTCCTCCGAGAACGTAAAGTATATATAAAATGTTTGCAGCTACGTTGTAAGATATTTGTACGAATTTTTCCTTCTTCTTTTTTCATTTTTGCGTTTTGCATATTAGCGGCGATTCGTGTCTAATGGTTTTCACGGCATCAATCTTATTCTCATTCCTACTTTTTCATCGGCGATTGGCCGTGTTCCAACACCAACAGATAGTTCAATGTAGGGACTAGACACCGGCTGCAATTTACAGCGAATTCGCGCTCGCTTTATTTTCAGATTGTACATCAATTCCAAAGTTCGGTCACTCTCTTTCCGGAATCCGTGCTGTCTTCGATCAGGGGACACGATCGAGCGAATTCCATTCGGATTTCGTGTTCGCTTTATAAATCGTCAGACAAAGATATTCGACGTTCTCTATACAAGTATCTTCGATGCTTTTTATTATATTCCGAATATTCCAAATTAAAAATCACGATGGAAATAGATAGGAACGTCTACGCTTCCTCGTAAAACTGTTTCGATACATCGATGGTGAGATATATCACATTTGTAAGCTTACGCTTCACTTTATAATTAATAGGAGCTAATAGAATTACGTTTAAGTTTCTGTAATAAATTGTGCCAAATTAACAGCTACAAAATTGTGATTAATATACGAAGCAGTAGATCAAATAGGGAGAAGGATGGCGAAGAGCCACGTATTACACTATTAACCTTTCCTCTTCTCATTCATTTCATTCAAATTATCTTTCCATAATCTCTAGATTAAAAATTAACATAAAATTTTATTTATTCATCCTCGTGTTTGAAACTGAACAATGGACGAATATTGTACGGTATCGAGTATGAGTTATCCCTTAAGAAAATAGCGATCCGAGGGAAAAAGACTCCAGTAATCAATGAAACACCGGGTTTAACGATACGATAATCGATGAAAATGCATCATTTTTCTTGTCTTCCTTCAATCTCTGGCAAAGCTTCCGTCCTGTAGGATGGAAAGCTCGAAAACGGACTGTACCGATGGTTGCTCTAAAGATATCGCTGCGTCCACGTCGCCAGGAATAGAACCGTGACGTTGTTCGTCGACGAGCGAACACCAACTCTCTGCTTCGCTGTACATCGACAGACAGCCAATGGGATACGCTTCGAGGTCGATGCCGAAGACGATCCTGGTGACTGGCAGCCTGTGAATCTCCTTTTCTCGTTGCCACTTCCTCGTTTTTCCCTCCGATCAAACAAGGTGACTCGAACGTTTTTTTACGAAACACTCCGCTCGTTATCTCATCTTTGATTTTCGAGAAACTGAATTTTTTCGAGAGCCACGATGAACCACCATGATTTATTACTGGGCTTTATGGGTATTATTAGAAATTTTGTCTGAACCATTAAATCTAGAATTATATTTTTTCAGGATTCTTTGAACAAACTTATGACTTGGAAACGATGAAAAATTCTGCAGTATCAAATTCGTTTTCTTAAAAAATTGAACGTTAACTCGATGTTAAAATTATTCTATTTATAGTAAATGAAGAATTATACTTTCCAAAAATCAAGTTACAAAATTTCAGGATAACAAAGTGTATTCCTCAGAGGAAGGAAAATTTTTGTAATTTGGAACAATGGATCAAATTCACGAGACGGTCGTGAACGGTGACAATAATTTATCGCCGAACTGTATTTCTTCGTCGTTCGTGCCACGTTTCTATGGCTGCAAGCTCGAAAGACGAACTCGAAAAGGGAACGAAAGAAAAAAGCAGGGAGGAACAACTGTGACCCCGTACAGAGTCGATAAAAATCGTTGACAAGATGTGCACCGTAAATTTCGTCCGGGAAAGAATTATTGTTCCCGGTTAAAGACAAGACAACAACGGATCTGACCAAAAGCAGCACGTGTACCCACGGGGTTGCAGAGAAACGTGGCGTTACTGACATTAAGTTACTTGTCTTTGCCTCTTCTTTTTTTCGAACTTCTGCATTCTTCGCGCGTATGACTCAACCAGAAGAGAAAAAGGATTGAATGAACTTGCGCGAAAACGTCGACTGATAAAAGAACCCGCTGACAAAGAAAGTGCCGCAGCATGTTGCAAATTAATCCGTGTATTATTTTCTACTTACCGAGAGGCTTTTAACCCCGAGACCCATCTGCTTGCCGCTGAAACGTTTGATCGTGTTGCTGGTACTTTAGAAACGAATGCAGTAAACGCAATTACCAAATGTTATTCGCCCCGTTCATTTTAAATACATATATATTTAATTTTCTACCAGAGGGAGTTGATTTAATATTTCAGACGAACAAGATGATTCAAGAAAATCGACAGACTGCTCCACTTCGATCCACTTCTTAATAGAAATCGTATTCCGAGTATGAGAACATCGTTAATCAGGCATGACGCATCTTCCAGAAGTCTGTGCAATTGGAAAACTAAAATCGTATAGGTAGAAGACAGATAGTGTCGGTCGACTGTCGCCTACTCATTTCTTGAACAGGAAGCAGACAAGCTTCATCGAAATAGCAGCAGGCCCATTAGCATTCGTTAGTGCGAAATCCTAGAACGTCACCGAAAAGTGACTACACGGTGCATGTGTATAGAACTAGTTCTAAGTTTATTAGAAAAAGAAAATAATTTTTTCCTCCATGATTATATTATTTAAAGAAATGAAAAGATCATTAACAGAAAAAATGAATGCAATCGTAAAATTACCTTTTCACAGTTCTTGTACTCATAATCACCCTGCGCAGAGTAGTTTGTCGATTAAAAACGTCGGCGAATCAGTTTCTCAGGAGACAAATTGTTCGGTCCTGGCATTAAATTAAAAATCATTCGTTTCATGGCGAGATAATGTGCGCCCGAGAACTGAATGTCTTATTAAATTTATACCGGCATTCACATTCCCGTCGGACGACGTAGCACCCAATTAAACGTTTGATATAGGGTGCCAGCCCCACCCCTCCGTGTTTTGACTTTACAACGGCACACGTCCACGATCCGCATACCCGCCACCGCGAACGGCAAAAATAATCCTCTTCTCGAGGGGGGGTGGAAATGAGAATTCGCGGAACTAACACGGTTTCTTCGCTCAAGCTGCCGTACAAAGCGTAAAATTACTGGCGCGAGTTAAGCCGGATCGTCGAGGCCGCCCTTTTTTCTTCGCCATTTTAACGTCATCGAGAGTCGTCCTTCCTTCTGAACGCTTTATCGTCCTCCCGCGGACCTGCTACCCTCATTCGTTTTCACGGCAACTTTATGCTTGCTTTGCTTTACAAATTCTGGGTGAATTTTTAAAAAGAAAAATACCCCTATTAGATACTTGAAAAATAAGAAAAATACTTAATATTTTTAAATATAAATTCCTCTGTTTATTTCAATGAAATATTTATATTATTCGTGTTTTCGAATTTACGGTAGAATTTAAATACGTAACAAGAAAAGTTGATTTAAAGAAACGAGGGAGAATCAGGGATTTCAGCATAAAGTACAGAGGATCGTGGAGGTCTTTTCGCGGGACGTAAAGTGACTGTTCTGTATCGTTACGGACGTTTGTACCGTCAAATTAATTCCTCGTGATTCTTGTTTTTCCTTTCTCTTTCTTTCGTGTTTTTTACTGTCACGCGTGATTTTCCAGGGATTCATGTTTACGTATAAACATTAGCTAAACATTGCTCACCATTTATTTAATTTTTCCTATATATGATAATTATTAATGTTAACGATAAATCTACCAAGGGGATCAAAATAAAACATCAATACTGTTATTAATAGCGTTATTAATCAGCGTTAGTCATCGATGATTCCCACGACAGCGAACGCATTATTTCTGAATTTATCTATGAATTATGGTACATCCTGACGTACACATGTATACTTATTTGCGCGAACATCAAAACATTGCCCAGAAACTACTTAATCGTTGTCAAAATATTTCCAGACTTCAAAGACGATTTTAGAACGTCCACCGTTTCACAAAACCTTTCGGTTTCCCACAACTACCGATTCATTCCATGGGACGAACTGATTCAGCAATCCTTTGTTCACCGAAAACTCTTTGGTAGATGTTAGGGCTACGGTTCAAAATCCCGAGAACACGAGTTTCGAAGTGGCTGTCACACCTCCGTTTTCGGATTTCCTCGAACTTCCAGCACTTTGAATAGGCGCGACGTTTATTAGCCTCCTTTCAAAATCTTCTCGCCTAACAGCGAAAAATATATGTATATATATTCGAAGAATAATAAATTCTTGCAAAACTAGGGTTATTGTCTGAACAACGATCAAAGTCACGGGCGAAGAAGAAACGCGTTTAGAGGAAACGAAGCTTTTCATTTTCGAACAGAGTTTCGAGGTAATTCGTAGATAATTATTTTCACGGGTAAATCAGATTAAGCAAACCGCTGGAAATTGTGACTCTGAAAACAAGATTTCGTCAATGTTAAAACTACAACTTGGCAGTGAACTTAACTAATCTAATGAAAAATTAATACAACCGAGCGTTCGCCTAATTAACGCGACCGCCGCGCGGCGCTCTGCAC